AGAAACAGAAAAACTATTTTTTGAAAAAAAATCAAAATTCGAGGGAAAAACTAGATGATCTTAAACTTCTTTCAATTTCTAGAACATTTAATGACTGACAATTAAGCTGGGACAATATGAAGCTTACAATTCCAGATAAAATGATCTGGGACCAACCACCCTTGACACCGGAACGGATCCACAATTCCGACTGTTGGTCGGAGGACGAAATCACCATAAGGAGCAGAGCACCAATAGCAACGATTCCGGAGGATAGTCAACTTCGACACGGACCAAAGAGAGGAGCAAGATTTGGCAGTTAGGGAACTAAAAACCTCATTAAATAATAAGTGTAAGGGGTCTGAGAAATTACCGGGGAAAGTCTACCCGAAAAAAGAAACAGGTAGCTAGGAAAACGCTAAAAATTGCGAAAAGAGGTGAAGAAACTAACAACTTTTCAACAGAAGTAGAAAACCCAAGAGGGGAAATAATTACATACACACCACACACCGCATGGGTATAAACAATTGTTCAACCACCTAGATAACTACGAAACAGTGGCTTCGCGTTCGTACCTGACCCAAAAATTTATGAAAAATGTTTTCCAACGAGGTCAAGCGACTTTGTGACATATAAATTGGCGCCTCGACACAATAAAAGCTACCAATTTTCAGATACATAAAACCTAGAGGCTCCTAAAAACTCACGGTTAAAAGAACAGGTAAAGTGACAATACAAAAAAACCAGCCAGCAACACTAGGGCAGAGAAGAAAACCAAGTCCACAACAAACCAGTTGGATTAAGGACCATCAGAAGAACGAACAACAAAACGGAACAAGAGGACAAACCAACTCGCAAAAGCAACCAGTCAAGGGCCAATCGGAAAAAAAACAAAAGGGCAGCCATGGGAGTACTAAAAAGCAAACCAAACGAAACGGCAGCGAACAGAGGGAGTACCGAAAAACAGAGGAATCATCTTCACCGTACCATCGACAAAATCAGGCATTTCTACGACCTCTTCGGTCGAAAAACAACATCGGGCGAAGAAACAAAACACAAAGCATACACCTCCACCTACATAAATATCAACCCGGAGTGTCGAGCAATCTATGAGCAAAATTCGGCAACGCCATCCCTCTATTGATAGTAACCAAGCCAACATCATCGATTGAAGCGAGATAGCTAAAGGAGTTAATGGGAGCGATGGCCGCCGAACTGAAGCAGAAGTATGCCGAGCAAATAAGAGCATACTAAGAATGAATTCTTGACAACGACAATTGTCAACAAGGAGGCGCAAGCAATAAAAACCTCAACAGAGGTAATCGAACTGTCCATCGATGCGCCGAGGAGAAACAATACTCGAACAACAGGACCAACAAAAGACTGCTAGGGGGATAACAACAACACGGAGGGAGATAAGGAACATAGAGCAAAAAACATCAGCGAGGAGAAACAAGAAAAAGAAACAGAAGCAGACGAGAACGAAAAAAAATATATCAGACGACAAAAGAGAAACCATGCGAAATGGAGAAAACGAACAAAAATTAAAAAGAGAGAGAGGGAATCGAGAATCACACTCCGTATTGTAAACTGAGAAAGAAAAAAACTGAGAAAAAAAACTCTCCAGCTGCAAACAATTGAGAGCATTCGGAGGCGTGTTATCTGTCCAGGTATGTATCTCCATTTGTGCTTAACACCAGATATATTCTCTTGTTACCTAATTTATTGATGTACAATTTATTGTATAGCCTAGAAGGCTCTAAATACGTGACCTTCTGTCACCAATTAACGTCTGAACAGTCTAATCTCAGATGTCTACCATTCGTCTACGATTTATGCTTATAAAGCAGAAATCAACCTTGTTCGTGGTAATTTGTTTGATCTATACGATTGAGAACAGTTGGCCAACTATTAGGCCACACCATATAAATAGACGGACATACAAATTCCTTGTATGACAGCAGCCTCTTGATTCAAAAATGTCACCAAAAAAAGCATTTTTTGCAACTTAGATTAGAAAACAAACTATCATATTATCACAGTACGCTCCGCCTAATTAAATTTATCTTGAAATAAAAAAAACTGATCAAATTTTAAACAGAAACTCCAGGTCCATTTTGCTTGCTTTTTCAAACTTGCTTTTAAACGGCTCATTTGATACTATTTCTACAAAATTTTACGGAACCATTTTTTTAAAATTTGCACTAGAAAAAAAGGTCGACGAGCCCACCGAAGGTTTTTTGAAGCGTTTAACTTTAACCGTTTTTCAGCTTAGCATACCCAAAGAAAACAACTTTCAGCTTCTCAAAGTTGCTCAAAATGGCTAAGTTGGCCAAAAAGTCAAAATCTGAATTTTACTCAGCTAAGCGGTGTATCAGTCTTTATATCGAGTTGATTGGGCACTGAAGCCTTTGAAGTTGCTTCGAGGTTTCTCGAATCAATGCAATGAGATCCTACGCAAATTTTAAATGGAAGCAGGAGTTTCTTTTATTTATGAACACATCAAAAAGATCGGATAAAAACCAGCAAAAGTTGATTCAAATGTCATGGAGCAAGCAATAAACAGAGAAGAATTCAAAAAATTTTCTCAATTTCTTCACTTTGATTCTGGATTTTCTAAAATTGTTTTAAGTTTTTTAGCATTGCCTGTAAATGTATACAAACCAAACTTTTGTATATGAAAAACTGCCAATCTTAAACCTTTGATCAATCTATCACTAAATGAGAATGAAGTCTAAACCCCAGTTGGGTCACATTTAAGCGTATTTTCTTAGTACAGAGGCGAAGCTGTTCTACGCAAACATTAGCAAGAAAACGCCAAAAATGCAGCTCAAAAAAGTGAAATAAGAAAACTTGGAAATAAGCCTCGATTAAATAAACTTTTGCTATTGGTCGGTTTCGAAGCTGTAACCTCGAAATTCTCGCGTCCTTCCCTCTCAGCAAAGAACGCTTAATGATTGGAAAAATATACCAACAGAAAAAGCCGGGAACGGATATCACGGAAAATTCCACCAATTGAGCACTTTTATTCGTGAGTTAGGTTGGAAAAAAGTAAAGTCATATCAAATCACTGCGCTCGCTGGGTCGATAGTCTAAGTAAACTTGATAATGCAGCGGTGAAGCTTTATTTTCAATACACATCTAAATATAATTAACCAAAATCAAAAGGTTATGTTTGCATTTGAAAATCTAATCTGCTTTTCAAACTTTTTTTTATATTTTTGAAGCAAAAATGTTCACACAGGCGAAACCTACACAGGTGAAAAACCTACGTCTACCAAATTTTAAATGGAAAAATTTCTTTCTAGGCAGACCTGTCAAACTTTTAAATGATTCTTTAGCAACGCAACAAAACTTACCACGAGAAAAAAAAACTGATAACTTTTGACCAGACCCAAGTTGAGCCGAAAAAAAACATGAACATTTTTAGGGTTTAAGTCCCTCCTGAAACTACAATGAACATTGCACTTGCAGCTACAATGATTGCACTTGCAGCTAAAGCTACAAAAGAACACGTAAAATCCGTAGTGTGGTAATGAAGCCGCAAAACTTGGGCATGCAAACAAAAGTCTATAAACTCAATTTTCAATGGAAAAAAGTTCACTAGCATACGTACTGAAAAAACGAAGTCGGGCCGTGACTCAAGCCCGAGACCTTGAGACGCAAAAGGCTATGGAGTTACCTCTCGGTCAAGTGGGAAGGAAATTGATTTTTTAAGGTACAATCATTCAGCAAGTTGAAAAAGGCTTCTTCGATTATCCCCATAACACTTCAAACTTTCTGGTTTTTGTAGTTGTTGTAAGTGTCATAACCGCTAAATGCGTAAAATTAGGATGTAAAGTATGGAGAAAAGATCTGTTTACAGTTGCTGGTCTTCACCAAGGAAAATTTCATTGCATTGTGACAACTTAAGAATCGTTTTTCCAACTTGAAATTCAAATGACGAGGGGAGAATGGAAAAGAGACTTGAACTATTGTGAATTATTGTAAGAAAAGTTGTTTGCGGTAAAACAAAGTCTAGCTCCCGATTACAAGACACGCAAGTGTAAATATTTTAAAGAATTCGCTATTTTCAAGAGTTACAGACAGGTTACTATTTACAAGAGTTACTGATAATTAATTTCCGTTTTCGAAATTAGAAGTCGATCACGTTTTTCGTGACCTTTACACTTTTGCTGTTCGATGGCGCAGTTTGCTTTCCTTTCAACAATAAAAACGCACCGAACCTAAAAATAAATCACAGACAAAGCGCGAAAAATCAAAACTTAGAGTGAACAAATTTTAAAGACTTTCTCCTGAATAACCAAACAAAAAAAATCACGAAGACCTAAATAAGAGTCTTCACTGTTACTCTTAAGAAACAACTTTCGATTTTCATAGAAAAATTTGTCTTCTTGGAGCACTGTTTCAAAAATTTTCTACAAACTGAATCAAGGATTTTTTACCTTTGTCGTTGCAGATTTTGGAAATGAATTTCAAAAACAAGCTCAAAAGCTAGCCCCAAAACAAAAATGGGGGTGTAGCGATTAGCATGTGTTCCTATTAGCATGCGTTAATTGTTTTGATTGGTTGTGCATTCCGATGAAAAACAAACTAGCCTTATTTTTCAACTAGTTTCGAAAACCACTCGATATATTAAGGAACTGAAAATTTAACTTTCGCCTAATTAAAAATTTGGCTACGTGCACTCTGATTAAATTGCAAATTTGAGTAAACAAAATGTGAAAAAGCGAACCTTCTTAGTAAAAAGCGAATCTTGAACTGCATTCTTTTCATGGGCATGCTAATTGGTACAGATGCTATTAGGCCGGTCCCCAGCAAAAATAGAGTGCGAACATGTTTTATCTACAAAAACAGAAGCAGCCGAACTAAATGAGTGTTTTGTCACGCTCTTGGCGATACTTAAGACAATTGAATACAACACTTAACTTCTTCGCTCATAAACAATTAAACGCAAAGCCAACTGCTATCATGCGTACACCTTAATGATTTTGAAACTAGTCAGTGTAGTGTAAATAAAAGAATAGAAAAGAAATTTAATTGAAAAACAGTAATTTTCATTCCAAATGTTTCTTATATGAAAAGGGATCAGATAGGATATATTCGGTGTCTAAATTTGCATGTACAAAACATCATTATGATAACAACGGGCATCTTAATGAATAATTATCAATTCAATCCTCGCATAGCAAAAATAACAACATCAAAATGAGCAACAGTCTCAGCTGATCTGTATTCGACTGTTTTATTAGTCTGCTGAAGGCTCTTCAAGCACAAGCACAGCTCTGCGAAATACATAATTTGTTAACACCAAGCCTAAACTGCCCTTTAGCCGAAGCGAAAGGAGCGCAGCCAGAAAATCTTATACATTTTTTTTCGTTTGCAATAAGGTACTGACTGGAATGCTGATAATTTTTTGTCTGTTATTCGATAATTGCATGGTTTCACTGCAAATTTAATGAAAAAAATTTTGTGGTGACATTGGTTGTATGCTGAGCATGATTTGTTCAAATTTCAAACCATTCGAAAGTCAACACCATTAAGGTCTGTGCTAGATAAACTATATCTGAACACATAACTTTCCGTTGCCCAACCAAGTTGGGCCTTCAAATGGTTTGAAGTGACTATTTGTTGTTTGCTGAAGCAAAGCATTGGACGACAAACAATATCGGGTTCAGTCATTCATTCAACATAAAGTACTAAACTTTATTCACCTAGTCACATTTGCACCCTACAGCAGCATTTGAATCCGTTCTTTGAGCCCCCCTCTCAAGTTAATGCTTATGTTTTAAATCTATTTTAGTTATGTCTCTAATGGGCTTGATGTTTTCTGGCCAAGTAACTGACTGCGAGAAAAAATGACGAAGCTATTAAGCCGCACAGGGTAGATAATACAAATTGAAACCCTTGCAAGTATCGGTTCTTCATGAAATTTAAAAACCCACGAACCCAGGCAAATGAAATAATTGAACAATTTACATTGCATCTATACTTCGCCAGCAGACCAGCAACTAGGATACATCCATCGAGAAACGGTTGAAATTTAGGACAAGATGTTCAAATAAGCGCAAACAGTATGATTGATTATGTGGAAGAGCAAAACAACAGCGATTCAGGCCACACATTACTCTACAGTAATTCGCCCCGGCTGCATATATTGAACTAATGCTTCTAAGGTTTAAGGTTCGATCCCTGCAGTGGGAGACATTTTTGTCATTACTTACTACTGTGATGCATGGCCGTGACTTGTAATAGTATGACGACCGATCAGCCAATCGGCTCATCCGCCAAAGAGAAGTGACTACATTACATTACTACATGAGTTGAATAGGAGACTGAATGTAGATTGTAGAATGAGAATGTAAAAAACTGCAAAATTAGATTTCTATAATAAACTTTAGTATCACAACAATAACGACATCGACACCAGGAACAAGGACCACTGCTCGTTTATTTAACCACCAAGCAAACACGGCATAGGCAGATACGATGGTGAACAATTCCAGATCGATTCGTAGGGTTGAAGAAGTTTAGGGACGGGACAAATGGGTGGGGGAGGGGAGTAATTGAGGAGACAATCGAAATAGTACAGCAGATGATTTAGAGTCCGGTCAAATTCTCTAGATTATAATTTAAGATTGAAGAAAAAACAACAACTGATCCCAACATAATAATTTACAGTTACTACCACAAATTTATCTACTCAAGTGAAGTGAAGTGGTCTCCAAGAGCAAGAGGACAGTTCGAAACACAAAAGAACTCAACTGAAATCAACCCCTCTTTAATTGTTAGTTTTTTAAAATCAAACTGATTTAAATTTCACTTCTACCAGTCATTGATGTGAAGCCTAATTTGAGTCCAATTGAGTTCAGCTTCGATTAGTGCACCACTTATAAGTCACATGTGAACAAAAGACTCCTTCTCAAGGAAACCTTCATAGCAAATTAGTGCACCAATGACAGTTCTTCAAAGTGCACTAATAGTAGAAGGCTGAGCAGTAGTAATTTTTACCCTTAGAACATTTGTATAATAATATATATCGTTGAGTCACAATTAACAAAAACCAGCACAGCAGTCTCATACATACAGTCTTTTGAGTTGAATTCAGTCCAGTTTTAAATCAGTAAAGCGACTTCTAATCTGTTGTATTATCTGTATTATTTCAAATTTTGTTTCTAAAAGTTTTAATTGGTAACGGAGCCAACTTTGATTCCCACTATAGCAAAAGCAAATGGTTCAGATTATTATCACATCCCGTCTTAACAACATCGTCCTTTTTGATCTCTCCGTTGTTGTTATTAATGAGCCATTTAGAAGCGAAGTGAGTTCTTTTACTGAGGAGATCATGGTGTCTACTTGGTCTTTTTGCCGCCTCCGAATGGCATTTTGAAGCTCTTCGTTTTCTTGGTCTTCTTACTACCCTTACCGTCCAGAGTGCCTGTGGCTTCGTTCTCAGTCTCGCCGCCTGTCGTCAGTCCCTTGTCCAGTCCGCTCTCAGTGTCTGAGGCCACCTGTTGCTGATTGCCTGCTGACCCACCTGGGGAGGAGGGGGACACTGGGGGGTGGGGCATAGTGGCCGCTCTGTTCTTTTTGTCCTTCTTACTCGACTCTACAAAAGCATTTTGAAACTCAGCACAAAATTAACACTCAGCAGGAAAACATTTCTATTAATTGTTAAATTCCGGAAAGAACGACAATTAATAGTTAATGGTTAAGCTAAGTTTGTCAGAGTTGAATCTTAATGTTAACGGTTTTCAGATCACTACTGAAAGCTAGGACCAATAGACTGTACAATGGTTTTCAATTAAATTAGACAAAGCTTCAATACACAGACGCGAAGCGACGCTTCGCAACACTTGCGATGCTAAAAACCCATTGCTCTAAAAAATGTTGAATGAAAAAAAGACAGAAGTCAGAAAAGTTCTGAAAAATAAAGTTGGAAAAATTAATTAGAAAAATAACCTGATGGAAGTTGAAAAATTACAGCCACAAAATTTTCATTTTGTATCAGATGAAATCACAGAGCTTAAAGTGCCTTCATATCATTCGGTAAATGACTCCGAAGTGCTCTTAATGAGATATCATAAGTCAAACTGCGAGAAAAAGAACTTGAGCTTGAACAATTAAGACTTCGTCAATGAAAAACAAAAACTCCACAGAAAGACAAAAAAACTGTTGGTTGCTATGTTGCTGACACATAATAATACGGCCACGTTTACTAATGAAAATATCGCCCACAGATAATTAAGAATCAACGAATGCAAGTAAATAGAAAAAAAGGACTAAGTTTTTCGAATTAACTTTCAAATTTGAAATAAAAATTGATGGACTTAAAATTCTGAATTTTAAGAAAGATTTATGATTGACGCATTTTTGATAAATTTAACTCAATTTGAGAAACTGGATCAGCAGGTGAACTTTTTACTTCGCTGGGAAATTTGATAATTAGGTTCCTTTTTCAAAACTAGAAGTCGATCACATTTTTTCGGACTTTTTTTTACTTTTGCTGCTCGATAGTGGAGGTTGCTTGCCTTTTAACTAAGAAACAAATCAAAAGTCAAGCCACGAAAAGTAAATTTGAGCCTGAACAAATTTTAAGACTTTTCCCGAAAAAAATCATCGCGACCTATATAGGAGTCTGAACTACGTTCATCGACTCATAAAAAATCCATTCAATTCAAGTCACTTTTGGGAAAGTGGAAGCGAGATGAAATAAAATTAAGCTACGACTGTTAGCTTAACAAAATTATTATAGAAAGGCGAACCAAATCGCGCCACTTGCTATACAACACAAATATAGCATGGCAAACTAACCGACAGAAAATGAGAAACCCGCAGAAATGCAACTTTTAAAATGTGGAAAAAATTGATTGACAGAAATGTTTACCATTCGCTTGAATCAATTTCTCGTTACATAAAAAAAAACATTCCAAGTGAGTCAATATGCCAAATGAGCTTCGAAAATAAAACTTAAAAGCGGTAATAATACCAGAGCACGCACGTTGAGCCAAAAAACATTTAGATAACCACCCTTCTTTTCTCAACGGACACGAAATGAGGCAGTTAAGCGGATACATTATAAGCCAAAACCTTTCAGGGCGAATAAGAGAAAAACCGAAAAAATAATGATATTGGATTTGGAGTTGATACATTCACAACCAACGTCAAAAACACATTTCGAATACAACGGGTATATAAAACACAAACTTTAGATAACAGCTATCTTTTGCTCATCAAACGACACGAAATGAGGCCGATAAGCCGACATAAACTGAGCAGAAGCCTTTTAAGCCCAATAAAGGGGAAAAGAGAAAAACACCAACGCCAAAAAAAAAAACGTGATAAACTGAAATCATTAGTTGATAAAATCAAAATCAAATAAACATAGTCAACTAACTGACAGTTGGAGAAGAGTACTGAACGCTAGAAAGCAGAACAAAATCTGACTGGTTTTTTGATTTTTGCTTTTCGAATTTCACGAACAACTTATGTTTGGCCCCTTTTTGACAAGATTAACCCAATTTGGAAACACTGGATCCATAAGTTAAATTGGAAGTCGATCACGTTTTTCGGGACCATTACAATTTTGCTGTTCGATAATGGGATTTGCCTGCCTTTTAGCAAAGGAAATTACTTGGACTTGAAAGAAAATAAAGTCAAGCCGCGAGAAAGTAATTTTGAGCCTAAGAAAATTTTTAGACTTCCTGAAAAAACCAAAATCATCGCGACCTAGATAAGAGCCTGAACTACGTTCAACAACTCTTAAAAACTGCCCGCGATCAACCTGTTCTCTACTACACTTTTAACACAGAGGCGAAGCGTATCTTCGCAGAACCTAGCGAGAACACGGCAAAAGCAGCTCTATAAAAGGCAATAAGAAAATTAGAAATAAGCCCCGAACTAGAAAAATTCGTCCACGTCTCTGATTCGAGCCTGCAAACTAGAGATTATGAGGGTCACACACTAACCACTCAACCATGGACTCTAAATTGGTACCAAACACTAGCCACAAATAAAGCAGAGAACAGATGCTATACAATTTCCGGCAATGCTACAGTGAAACTTTCAAATAAATGAATACTAACGAAAAAAAGAAGGTTCGTAATAATACACTTCGCTGATCGCAAGTGTAATCATGAAAGCTGATTTGAAAAAAAAAATCAAAAACAAGCGATGGAACCATTTGTGTAGAAGAAAAAAATCTGTGTAAAATCATAATTTCGAAAAGTTTAAGACATGAGACTGCTTTCTTGTCAATATGAATAAAATTTATTATAAAATAGAAAAACCTTTCTTAAAAATAAACTACCTGCATCATTATAAGAACAAATCCAAATGAACTCTGATGATTAAAGTTGCTTAGCTAAAAAAAGTCCATGCAGTGGAAAAATAAACCCTCGAAAAATGAGCAAACAGAAGATAGCGCGACGTTCAAAAATGTCCAATAGAAAATTTTCTTTCCAAAAATTGAGACTCCGGGCAGATCTCGAACCGCAGACCTCTGTTGCTGTGCGCTACCTACAATCTAAACGTGTGAAAGTAGTAAAAACAATTCGATATGCTGATTACAAGTAATACCTAACAGAAAACAGTTAAACTTTCTTCAAATTCGCGGAAGTTAGACCTTCCATATATCGACAGCAAGAAAACAAACACTTTCATATGCAATCTATATCCAAAACGGGTTAATCGGAAATTAAGCAGCAATCTTTTCAAATACAATCCAATAAAAAAGCTTGGCTTTCGTTATGTTTAAGCCAAGAAAGATTAGTTTTGAGAGAATTCCAACCCATTTCGTATCTCATCCTTTGTTGCCGTTGCTGATATTGGTACTGGTAATCCATCCCTGCAAAGCACGACAACAAACTCCAAGTTTAGATTAGTACTTTGAAAAACACATTGTTTTTTTGTTCCACCTACTGAACTCTATAAACCAAGGTCGTATCTATGCGTTTCCCTAAGAGGGTTGCCGTGCCGATTTTCATTTAAAAAAATGAAGATTGTTTTGGTTCATCAGTTCTATTTTACTCATTTTATTCAAGTAGAAGGCGCGTTTTTATTTGGCGCGTTTTTCATTTCAATATAACGTCAGGCACCAAATATATCTTCGGGAAAGTTTGAGAGGTTCGAGTGAAAATTCTCAGTTAACAAAGAAGTCCTTCCGGGGATAAAGTGATCGAAAACCTTTTCGCCAAATCTCGCGAACTTACTAATAGATGCAAAAAATATATGATATACTTACTGGACTGTGCTTCCGGAGCTGCGACAGGGGAGGGAGGATCTTCGGCTAAAACAGAATTATTTTTCAAATACTCAGCATGTTTCAATAGGTTAAAACACTCGGAACTTTCCATACTCGACATGAAGTTCACCAAAAATTAAAAATTAACAACTAGCTATACACCGCAAACAAACCATGGCAAGAAAACGGCAAAAAGTAGCACCAAAAAGGTAAAAAAAAACATTCAAAGGCAAAATAAGCTTTGAAATAAGCCGTGATCGAACCACCGACCTAGAGATTACGAGTCTCATCTTCGACATAAGCGGTCGAAATAAGTGCCAAAAAAGCGCATAGCTACCAATGAAGCGCATAAAACAAGGACTACTAAATTACCAATGCTATGCATTAAAATGAACACATTGAGCAAGTGTTTACCAAAATGAAAACTATTTCATGCGAGTTGGGTTGAAAAACAGTCGCTTCGTAACATAACACTACGATTGCTACCTCTCTTGGGTAAAAAATGACAAAAAGAAAACCATAATTTGCACTTTGCGGTAGTTTTGCGGTAGTAACAAAGCTGATGCAACTTGCGCATAATACCAGTTGGATCAAAATCTGTTGTCATGAAAAACTTTGCTATCAAACATTTTGAACCTCAAAATTCTAAGTCTCCATTCCCACACACATAAATAGGAAACATTTTTGTCATCAAACGATTCCTAACTCATTGTGAAAACGTTACAGGGCAATAAAACCTCAACCACTCAATACGTAACATTGCTTTTCTTTATTTACATCTGAGAAAACATTGCGAGGCAGGGGTTTATAAATCGGTGCAATAGGATTAAAAACAATTTCGTATTAATCGGATTAATGTACGCACCTGGGAGTCCTTGTGCTATTCTGGCGCTGGACTTGGTGTATGTGGTGAGTTCGTCATCTGTCACCTGGTCGAACGGGTTCTGGGCCGTGTAGTCTGTGAGGATAACGGCGTCCTTCTGGTGTTCTCTCTGGATGATGCCCTTGGAGAAGGCGGCTACTGCTCCTGGGTTGCTGCCCTGCAACTCTTGGTAGTGTCTGGCGTCTGTGTCTGAAAGTCCGTCCAGGATACGCGAAGTGTGTCCAGAGTTGCTCTTGTTCAAGTCACGATCGTCCTTCATCTACAGCCAAAAACACATTGTTTTCAGGATCCTGTTTTTCCACGCAGATCACGTTTTGAACTGGACTTTCATTTGATTCATAACTTTGATTTATTATATCGCTTCGCTGTTTTTGTTTAATAAAGTGATTCCGTTTAAATACTGACCGTGTTGATTTTGCTCTTGAGTTCGTACTTTGCGGTGATCACCGGGGCGAACTGGTGTGGTCCATCTATCTTCACCACCAGGTCTGTGTCATCTTTGCGCACCCACTGAAAAAAAAACAGAAATATTCTAATATTTGATATCAGTAAAATGAGTGAGTGGAGATGAGAATTACTTATAGCTGAATTAAGTATATTGTATACTAATTCTTTAACTGGAATATTTATATCTCTTTTCAACATTCGGATACCGATAGAAAAATAGACGCTTAGATTTGATTAGAAAAGCCCAGTTTTGCAGGACACAGATCTTGCATGCTAGCAACACTACATGTTTCAACTCACGGTAAGCCCCGGTAAGTTTTAGTCAGCTATGTTGTGTGCCGTAATAACCGCGTGTATATCCGAAAGATTATAGCTATCGGTTTATAACATCGTACTTCATATATCAGATATCATCGTCCAGTGAGCTTACCTTGATCTTGGTCTTTTTGTCCGCTGGCGTGTCTCCGTCCGAGAAGATTTCAGCCTCCGTTCTCTCGTAGCCACCCGAGTGGATGTATCTATCTCGTGAGTTCTTAGTCGCCCGTAGGGTCTCACTGTCCGAGAAGTATCCCATTGAGCTAGTCGCTGGAGGCACCTCAACATCAAACTTGGGCTTGGTGGGGACTTTGATCAATGGATTCTTGTATATGTATCCGGTCCTGTAGCCGCTGTTGTCAAACTGGCGCATCTTAGTTTCGAACAACATCTCTCCGAACTTCCATTGTCGTCCTCCCTCAGAATCGAGGTCTCCTCCACTCCAGGCACTCTGGAAAACCTTCTGAGCCTCGTCTTCGCCGACAAGACTGATATTGTCCACGTTGCCGCCAGCAGCTTGCAGGCACTGCAGCTAAAACACGCAACTCAGTTGAAGAACGATCCAAGCACGAAGTCAAGAAGACAATGCAAACATTCTCAAAGAGCGACATTATTTCCTTCAATCGTTTCATTCAAAATTTAGCTTCTTCGAATCGCTTAATATCGCTGAGAGCATCTCAGCTCCATAAATATGAGATAAGACTTATCGAGTTGGCAGATTGTTATTATGAATACTTAGCTAAGACCTTTAATCTACAAAGGATAGAAAGTACTTTTCCCGAAAACCAAAGTTGACTCCCTGATTGAAAATTTCTGGATAGGAAATCCTTGCGTCAACCTCAAGCAAAGAGCAAAAGTTCATGATGGGTTCTGACCCAGCGATATTTTGATTTTCTAACCTGTGACCTGCATGCTTGCACCAGGTTTGTGGTTAGCTGCCATGTCTCTTCAATTGTGGCTCCGCACACTACTGCTCCCAGGTTGCTCAGCAGCATCACTTTGTTCACGGCTCCCAACTCCCTCGACAAAGACTCCTTCACATCGTCCGAGAGAGCTCCTCCCCCTGAGACGAAGAAGGGGTGGGTGGAGATATTACCCAGCACACAACTGTCCACTCCTGTGCGTAGGAGGCCGTGCTTCATAGCGGAAACCTGAAGCACTCACCACAAACATTACCCAAAAACTCAAACCCTCATTAATCAGACCCAGACATCACTCAAGGGATCCACCTTCAAGTATACTACATACATTTCCATGGAACCCTATTTTTTGTAAATGCGGTTTCATTTATATGAATTGGACAAATTTCCAGTTCGGCATATTTCAAAATCAAAATTTACACAGAGGCGAAGCAGAGCTTGGCACCACTTGCGATACAATACAAAAATAAAAAAAACAGTCGAAAAAAATAGAAAAAATTAGTTGAACCAAATATTTCGTAAACAACAACTATCCTCTATAAAAAACAACTACAGGCCCAGCTAAAGCTGGAGGTACGTGTTTAATATTGAATAAGTTTGCTATGCTGATGCGGCACGAAAAGTGTGATTTCAAAAATTGGACTTTGCCTAAAACATAAATTGTTTCTCTACTAAAATAAGTCAGAGTAAGAAATTTTGAGATAATCAATTTTCCCAAGGAGATAAAATTTCTCTTACAAAAAGTTAAGGAATCGCTGCCTCAGCAGGAGCAATTATCGCAACCCATTCTTTCAATGGAACTTTCATCTCAGATTTGATTGATTCAAAAAATTACTAAAAAGCGGTCGAAAGTTTTGAGAACCAATCAAAAAACTTTTCAAAACCCATAAAGTTTTTCTGCAAACCGTTTGAACCCAAAATCTCAGGTATGGCGGGTAGTTTTCGAGAATATTAAAAAAATTTAAAACGGTCAAAAAATCAACAATTTGACTTTTCAGAGGGCGATAACTTCTTGTGTAAAACTTTTCGTTAGTGTCCGCTAATGCAGAGGAGGTTCTAACTACCCGTTATCTCATTGAACCAACAATATCGGATTTGGGAGAGTAGTTTTCGAGAAAAGTCAAAATCTTTTAAAAAAACGGTCACAAAATCAAGATGTTTACTTTTTCGAGGGCCATAACTTTTGGAGTAGAAAAAAAATTGGGCGTAGTAGCAAAATTAAATGAATTTCCCAACGCCCATTCTGAGAATTGTAATTCCAAAATCTTAGGAAAGCCAGGGTAATTTTCGAGAATATTCAAAGTTTAAAAAACGGTCAAAAAAAGTTTGACTTTTCAGAGGGCGATACCTTCTTGTATAAAATTTTTTGTTAGTGTCCGCTAATGCAGAGGAACTTCCCACTAACTGCTATCTCATTGAACTCACAATATCAGATTTGAGAGGTTAGTTTTCAAGAAAAGTCGAAAATATCCACAAAACGGTCAAAACTAAGAAATTTGACTTTTCCGAGGGCCATAACTTTGTGCAAAAAAAATTAGTCGGAGCCTCTTAAGCAAGGGAATCTTTAAAGACATTTCTATCCATTGAAACTAAGAACTCAAATTTGAGAGAGATAGTTTTCGAGAAAACGAAAAGAAAAATCAAAAATATGGGTCAAATTGTCCCCCATACTTTTTCGAAGACTGTAGACAGGGGGGTCATGTAAAAAAATACTGTAGGAGATTATGCAGGCACACAGTGAATAAGCGGTCTTTCAATTGATACTCCTTTTTTGAAAACTAGGAGAGGTTCTAAGAAAAACTAAAATTTTTGCATAAAAGTTCTAAAAATATCGAAACGAAAAAAAATGAAAACTCAACAAACAGATTAGTAAACATACAGCCAACTTGAAAAGTGCGGAGGGGAGTGCTAAAATTGTGTTAATCTTGAAACGTCTCAAAATTAGGTCATCAAGCCGATGAAAAAATAGGCCAAAATGTACTTGGCCCAAGGAATTTTTTAAGCGAAACAAAAAAAAACAAAGAAGGAAATATAAAGTCATGGTAAGTAAAATTATAAAATTTAAGCGTAATTCAAACGCTGAAAACAACATAAAACAATTGCGCGTAGAAAAAACAATTTCGAGATGTGACAACTAAGCCGACAACAGAAAAGCAGACAAATAATTGGCCGACAATTTTTTGAGAAACAGAATATATCCTGTTTGAAAAAAAAAATAGGTCACGGTCAGGCTCAAATCCAGGACCTTTGGCTTCTCAGGCATATTTGTTACCTTCAGGCTAAGTTGGTCAGGAACACTAAGAAATTTGAATCCATAATCAAACAAGGTAGAGATGAGTCCAGACGAGTCCTGTGGACAAAGCTGTTTACGGGAAAAAAGTCTAGAACCCGGCTGCAATAGGGTAATAACTTAGTAGCTAAGAGATATACAAACTTTAAGACTTTTCCTGAAACAACAAACATAGCTAACAGACAGTTGGAAAAGAGTCAATGAACGCAAGTAAACAGAAAAAAAACGTCAATTCTCGATTTCCGAAGAAAAAATAGCTGGCCTTACGGCTCTCTGAATTTCTACAACAATTTATAATTGACACTTTTTCGATTAAAAAAACCCAATTTGAACATACTGGATCAATAAAAAAAATTCCGTGAAATAAATTCCGTTTTCGAAATAAGTCAATCACGTTTTTCGAGACCTTTACACTTTCGCTGTTCATTAGTGGAGTTTGTCTTGTTTCTAACAAAATAATTGAACTGAAATAATTGACAGAAAAAAAAGTGAAAAGAACCTCCAAATATCAAATTTCAGCCTGAACAAAATTTAGGACTTTTCCTGAAAAAAACTCATCACGAACTATATAAGAGTCTGAACTATGTTCATCGACTATTCAAAATATGAACAGAACAGAGAAAACTCGCTTAATTTAAGCAAGGTATTCGTTTTGATGTTTTGTGCTTGTAATTGAATTTGATTGCCCTAAAATTCCTGCACTGAAAATCTGACCCCCACCCCCTTGTGAAAATCCCAGATCCCTGACCTTATTGTTTGGATATGCCATATTACCATGTGATGTATTTGTGATTGTGAGTGATACTGACCGCGTTGACATGGGCCTCTTTGAGGTGTAGGATGCACCTGACATCTGGTCTGGCTCTGTGCAGTGCCGTGTGCATACTGGTGGCCACGCCACTCACTCCGAATGTGGTGCTTCCAGGATGCATCACATTGCCATGCTGGTCCACTTTGACCAGGGTGGTGGCACTGATCTCCTGCAGGTGCAGGCCACTAGGGTTGATCAACACACTGTCCTGCTCGCCTACAGATAAACACTAATGGTCATAAACAGCTTAGACAACCTAAAAGGAACCCATGCACCATGAGTTTAATAGAAAAACATAGAGAGTGAAAGGCTTAAACTTAAAAACACATGCCTATTGCCTAAACTTCAAAGACATTTTTATTCCACTGGTGATTCTACAACTAAATACGCTTTAGAAACTACAAAAAACATTCGCACTATTACCACCGCTTCGAAAATGAGAGAGAAGCTTTGAAAGTAAAACTGACAAAAAGCTTGAAAAAATGTCTTAATCTAAATTTCAACCAAAACCCATTAAAACTCGAAAACTTCCAACAGAACGTTAGAAAATTGTAAACGAACCAAAGAAACCGAGAGAAAAGACTGAATTAGAAATTCCACCTTTGAGTTTCAAATAATTATCATGACACCCAGACATATCCGCCCGAGTCACTTCCGCCCCAAAAACAGTCAGTTCCTGAAATGACTGCTTTTGGGGCGGAATCGACTGGGTTTTTGGGGCTGAAGTGTCTGGGGCGGAAACGAATGGGTCGGGAATGTCTGATCACGAATAATCGTCATCATTAATTTAACACCATCTTCGTGTATTCGACAGTGGTATTCTCATATCGATTCTTTCGAGAGCTAAAGCGGCTTCATAAACTAGGTCATTAATGAAGCCATTATTTACGCTGCCTTCTTACGCCGCCTTCGTTTTTCATTATTACTATTTATTTGCCAACAGGTTAGAATCGAGATAAAGCGGCTTTCTTTTTTACCGTTAATGGAACTGCATATCGTACTCATTTCAAAACCTACTTTTAAAAAAAATTATTACCAGCGGGTTCAAATCGTAATAAACCCTAAAGCGGCTTTTTTTTATCGTGAATGGAGCTGAGAATCGCACTCATTTCATCACCTACTTCTTAAAAAAATCATTCGTTTCCTCAAAAAAAAAAAGAAAAAAAACGCACCTGAATAAAAATCACTGCCTGTTTGCCAAATAGCTTTCGTTTCTTTTTCCAAATGATTTACAACAAAACTTTTATAATTTCCCCATACATTGGTCTGTGAGGCACTGAGGCTAAATAAGCGGTGGATAGTAACTTACCTTTTGCACTGTGACTTTCAAACGATCCCACTAAATATTGACATAATCTTTTTCTAATAGTTATACTAAAACATAGGTTGTTATTCTTTCTAATGTCGACATCAATCTAAAGAAACTGAGGCTCTCCGAAAGCTGGCATCATTTAGGCTTGACAAAAATAGATGTGCATCTGTCAGCTACCGTTTGCATCAGCGCTTTTTTCAAATGCAGAAATCTTCACAATTGGATTTGAATAGTAATGACTCGGATCGATATTTCCCTGATCTAGCGCTAGATGAGATATCCAACTAACCGGAGACTCTGGCTGAGATGTGGGTGGTGGTTCCGACGGAGGAGTCTGCCCAGCCCTCTTGGTCCAGCAGTCGGAACAAGGAAGCCAGCTTGCATCTGAGGAAGCGCTCTCCTTTACTGTAGCCACTCGCGTCCACTCCACGCAGATCGGCTATAGGGGTCACACTGCCACCGGCTGAAACGACACACACACTCACTAACAATTCCATAGTACACACAATACTGAATCAAGCTGTAATTGATGGTTAATAAATGATTGCATTTGAGACGACGTTGATCACATGAAGCTTCGAAAAGCTTGTAATTCATTGAAATTGACGACAACACTCCTCAAATTTCTTCATTTGGAGCCAATTTAAAAAAAAATCATAACGAGTAATACCAAGAGTATTCATTTAATGTCAGTGAAAGTGTTCAGTAGTTAAAGATGATGAAATGATATCAGAGAAAAACTGCATGACATAAAATGGCTAAAAACATATTTTCCTTTGTTGAAATTTAAAAAGATTGTCTGCAGACTACATAGTAGCGCCAATAGAAAAAACCGACAACACAGAGAAAAATAGTAAACAATAGGTTGTACATTTACTGTTTTACAGTAACTATGTAACCAATACAATTCAATGGCTGACAGATTAAAAAGATGTTCGCTGATGACACCATTAAACAATAGCAGAGGCTACACATTTGAACTTTCAATTCTGACTGTTGTTAAGAGGCGATTCTGAGATAGAGTGTGCGCTTACATGCTTTACTGGGCGTCGAGCCCACAGCTGCGGGAGGGGGTCCCGCGTCTGAAAAATCAAGTCACTTACAAACCTTACCATACAATCCTTATCACATGCAAAAAATATCACACAATTGAGGTAAATTGACCATCCGCAATGATACTGATTTCAGCAAGTGGCTTAACATGCATAACTTTATCATTTTTTAGTTTCTTATCCAACTTCTATAAATGAAAAAGCTTCCAAACATAAACTAACATATCGGGGTGCATCGCACTTTAAGAAAAGATAAAAACCTAAAGCGGCTAGTAAAAATAAAACATCACCAACAGACAGTTGGAAAAGAACCAATGAAATGAATTCCAGTAAACCAAAAAATAATTGAAAACTGTTTCGAATTTTGATTTTCAAAAAAAATGTCACCTTTTAAAGCAGTTTCTCTAAATTTTCGCGATATCTTAAAAATAAAACCCACTTTTGAATCTAAAAGTCACTCATATTTTTGCACGCCATTTGCAACTTTCTTTTGCAGTTCGAGAGCGTCCAGCCCTTCAGAAAAAAAATTTAATTGAACTAATTTGCATGAATTTGGAGTCAATTTAAAACAAGTATTTTATATCTAATTGTATCCTTTGATAATTAACACTAAACAATTATGATATATTACTAAAACTTATAATTTTTACAGCTGAAGCTATTTATAGTTTCAGCCAGAGAAAAAATAATTTAGAAAGCAGTTGCTCTTCCTCTCCTCTAACCTCGTAAGAATACCAGTATATACTAGATCTATTGAGACTCGGAAATATAAGAGTAAGATTAGGAACGGTATTTGCCTAAGAGTTGCACGAATCTATCCGGCCGAAAATTAGATAGCGTGACGAACAGACGGCGTACCTTATCCAAAATTGCTGTATGAGAAGTCCACCGCGGACTTTCACTCACCTCAACTGCGAGAGAGTAATTTTTCTTCGTTAGGCAAATGAATTTGAAGTGAACTTTAGAAAACTAAAAACCAAACCGTACAAATTTGAGGTGAACCACTTCTGGTTCTGAGACTATTTCCACAAAGAAAACGTAAAAATGACCAAACAAGTCAATTGACGTTGATGAATACTTTAACATTTACATCACTTGGCTAAGCAGTCAGCTTTTATTTCACTGGGATATCCGATAATTAATTTCCGTTTTCGAATTTGGAAGTCGATCACGTTGTTTGTGACCATTACACTTTTCTTTCCTTTTAACAATGGAAATCCACGGAACTTAAGAAATCACAAGTCAAATCGCGAAAAATCAAAATTGAGCGTGACCAAATTTTGTGACTTTTTCCTGAAAAAATGCAAACAAAAAAAGCAGCAAGACCTATATAAGAGTCCTCACTACGTTCATTACTTTAAAAAATCAAGATTGAGCGTGAACAAATTTTAAGACTTTTTCCTGAAAAAAAATCAGCAAGACCTACCTAATTCGACTTTCATTATTAATTTTTATTAGGGCTGGGTCTGAAGTGGGTACTGGTTTGAGTTTTCTGATTTTTGTCGTTTTAGAGGTACAAAGGAGAAAGAGAATGAGCTGAACTGAAGCTTCAAGAAAACTGGCATATCTAAATTATTACGTTCTGAGACTAGCAACAGGAAGAATTGGTAGAATTGAATAGCAATAGGTAAGTGGAACTGAGGGAGTCTACAAATCGATTCAATTCCCCCTGAAGGCAGGCTTTGATCATTTCATGCAACTCTTTTTCCAAAATCAATTCAATCATTGAATGAAAGGTAAAAAGATAAACATTTATATTTAGAAATTGAAAAATTTCCAGGAGTGTTACAGCATCATCACTTTCATGGGCGATAAATGCTGCTGAGCCCTCATCAGGAATGATTGAAATACCAATGCGTCTCGACTTGAATTCAAATTCAATTCTACAAGATCAATTGAAGCATTGATATTTTCAATGTCTAGCTCACCATTAATCAGTTACGATCCGCGACATGCAAACAGCGAAAGGTTACACTGAAATTTACATCCGGCTGAGGAAAGGCAGGAAACTTAATGTATCCTCAATTAAACTCATCGGAGAGGGATAGTCAAGGAAAAAAATACAATCTACCCTTTGTAAACCATATTACGATACTATTGTTTTAATTTAAAAATAGCTGATAAAACTTTTTCACATCCCCAGAAAAAAATGTTCACGTCATGCAAACACATGAATCTGTAGTAAAAACAAATGAAATCTGTATTTACTCAGTCACTAGCTACATTCACCGATTGTGTAATGGACTTTCACACAGATTAAGCAGTTGCATGTTATACAGCGGCATTTGCTCACACGACACAGCTGACTGCATTTTCAAGAGCTTTATCAAATATTTTGAACTGATGAATACACCACGAAATATCACAACGCAAGTCGAATATCTGCATCTCATTAAGGGCAGCGTGCTAATTGTTTTCCAAATGGGCTATTAGACAAAAACTTATATATTGCATGTTATACTCATATATAGAACTTATCAGAACTGACATGATCTGTAGGTACGAAACTAAGTAATCAAACTTCAAAACTGCATGGCAAATATCAAAACAACACAGTTTGAGCAGAATCAATGATTTCAAGTAACCCAGAAAACATATGATTGAATTACTTCAAAAAAATGTAACATTCGAAACAAATATCAATTCAAAGCTCTTTGAACTTCAGGAATCTTTAAAGTTATTGATATTTTTGATCAACTAATAAAATCTGAGAAAACTGAATCATTATATACAATTTTTATTCCGCTGGAAGTTTTGAAAACTAAAATACATTTTCAAATTAGACTTCATTCAGATTTTTTTTGCGCAATTTCAAGTTTTTGAAGATCATAATTTTAATTTACTCAGCTTTTCGCAAATGAACTTAGAGTGAACTTATAAAGACAAAATTGAAACCGCTAAAAAAACAGAAAGCTGGAAAAAAGTCCATGAATTCAAGAAAACTAAAAAACAATGATTGACTTTTCAACTACCGAATTTCGAAGAAAAAATAATTCTACTAAACAATCTCCCACTTCAAGAAAGAGGCTAGATTATACAGTACATTAAGTTAGTCGAATTTTCGACCCATCAGAAAAATTAGAATTCTCAAAACAAGCTCTAGTGCTAATCTACTGTATTTATTTATAGGGGTGGAGATTCTTTAGTAGATACCATAGACTGTTAAGTAGAGCAGAAAAAATACAACGCGTTGAAAAAATGAACATTCAGGAACCTGTTATATTTGTCGTTTTTAAAATAAAACTAACCGAATTAGAGAAAACGGGGTCAAAAGTGAACTTTTTTTCCGCTGGGAAATCTTAAATTTAAAATCGATTTCGAGCCCATAAAACTTTTGTTTTATTTCGCCATTTGCTTTTTTGTTGACAGAGAACCTAATTTTCTTTACATGTATAGTGAAAAAAAAAGAAACCAAACTTACGAAAGTTTTTTCCTGGGAAAAAAAAATAAAAACATACGAACGCCCTAAAGACGTGAATTCATTTAATTCATTCAAAGCATTCACTGACTACATTTGATTACGCGGTAGACAGAACTTCCAAGATGGATTCAATTTTTAAAGGTTTTTGTAATGGACTTTCACACAGATTAAGCAGTTGCATGTTATACAGCGGCATTTGCTCACACGACACAGCTGACTGCATTTTCAAGAGCTTTATCAAATATTTTGAACTGATGTGTCATCTTTGCGCACCCACTGAAAAAAAAACAGAAATATTCTAATATTTGATATCAGTAAAATGAGTGAGTGGAGATGAGAATTACTTATAGCTGAATTAAGTATATTGTATACTAATTCTTTAACTGGAATATTTATATCTCTTTTCAACATTCGGATACCGATAGAAAAATAGACGCTTAGATTTGATTAGAAAAGCCCAGTTTTGCAGGACACAGATCTTGCATGCTAGCAACACTACATGTTTCAACTCACGGTAAGCCCCGGTAAGTTTTAGTCAGCTATGTTGTGTGCCGTAATAACCGCGTGTATATCCGAAAGATTATAGCTATCGGTTTATAACATCGTACTTCATATATCAGATATCATCGTCCAGTGAGCTTACCTTGATCTTGGTCTTTTTGTCCGCTGGCGTGTCTCCGTCCGAGAAGATTTCAGCCTCCGTTCTCTCGTAGCCACCCGAGTGGATGTATCTATCTCGTGAGTTCTTAGTCGCCCGTAGGGTCTCACTGTCCGAGAAGTATCCCATTGAGCTAGTCGCTGGAGGCACCTCAACATCAAACTTGGGCTTGGTGGGGACTTTGATCAATGGATTCTTGTATATGTATCCGGTCCTGTAGCCGCTGTTGTCAAACTGGCGCATCTTAGTTTCGAACAACATCTCTCCGAACTTCCATTGTCGTCCTCCCTCAGAATCGAGGTCTCCTCCACTCCAGGCACTCTGGAAAACCTTCTGAGCCTCGTCTTCGCCGACAAGACTGATATTGTCCACGTTGCCGCCAGCAGCTTGCAGGCACTGCAGCTAAAACACGCAACTCAGTTGAAGAACGATCCAAGCACGAAGTCAAGAAGACAATGCAAACATTCTCAAAGAGCGACATTATTTCCTTCAATCGTTTCATTCAAAATTTAGCTTCTTCGAATCGCTTAATATCGCTGAGAGCATCTCAGCTCCATAAATATGAGATAAGACTTATCGAGTTGGCAGATTGTTATTATGAATACTTAGCTAAGACCTTTAATCTACAAAGGATAGAAAGTACTTTTCCCGAAAACCAAAGTTGACTCCCTGATTGAAAATTTCTGGATAGGAAATCCTTGCGTCAACCTCAAGCAAAGAGCAAAAGTTCATGATGGGTTCTGACCCAGCGATATTTTGATTTTCTAACCTGTGACCTGCATGCTTGCACCAGGTTTGTGGTTAGCTGCCATGTCTCTTCAATTGTGGCTCCGCACACTACTGCTCCCAGGTTGCTCAGCAGCATCACTTTGTTCACGGCTCCCAACTCCCTCGACAAAGACTCCTTCACATCGTCCGAGAGAGCTCCTCCCCCTGAGACGAAGAAGGGGTGGGTGGAGATATTACCCAGCACACAACTGTCCACTCCTGTGCGTAGGAGGCCGTGCTTCATAGCGGAAACCTGAAGCACTCACCACAAACATTACCCAAAAACTCAAACCCTCATTAATCAGACCCAGACATCACTCAAGGGATCCACCTTCAAGTATACTACATACATTTCCATGGAACCCTATTTTTTGTAAATGCGGTTTCATTTATATGAATTGGACAAATTTCCAGTTCGGCATATTTCAAAATCAAAATTTACACAGAGGCGAAGCAGAGCTTGGCACCACTTGCGATACAATACAAAAATAAAAAAAACAGTCGAAAAAAATAGAAAAAATTAGTTGAACCAAATATTTCGTAAACAACAACTATCCTCTATAAAAAACAACTACAGGCCCAGCTAAAGCTGGAGGTACGTGTTTAATATTGAATAAGTTTGCTATGCTGATGCGGCACGAAAAGTGTGATTTCAAAAATTGGACTTTGCCTAAAACATAAATTGTTTCTCTACTAAAATAAGTCAGAGTAAGAAATTTTGAGATAATCAATTTTCCCAAGGAGATAAAATTTCTCTTACAAAAAGTTAAGGAATCGCTGCCTCAGCAGGAGCAATTATCGCAACCCATTCTTTCAATGGAACTTTCATCTCAGATTTGATTGATTCAAAAAATTACTAAAAAGCGGTCGAAAGTTTTGAGAACCAATCAAAAAACTTTTCAAAACCCATAAAGTTTTTCTGCAAACCGTTTGAACCCAAAATCTCAGGTATGGCGGGTAGTTTTCGAGAATATTAAAAAAATTTAAAACGGTCAAAAAATCAACAATTTGACTTTTCAGAGGGCGATAACTTCTTGTGTAAAACTTTTCGTTAGTGTCCGCTAATGCAGAGGAGGTTCTAACTACCCGTTATCTCATTGAACCAACAATATCGGATTTGGGAGAGTAGTTTTCGAGAAAAGTCAAAATCTTTTAAAAAAACGGTCACAAAATCAAGATGTTTACTTTTTCGAGGGCCATAACTTTTGGAGTAGAAAAAAAATTGGGCGTAGTAGCAAAATTAAATGAATTTCCCAACGCCCATTCTGAGAATTGTAATTCCAAAATCTTAGGAAAGCCAGGGTAATTTTCGAGAATATTCAAAGTTTAAAAAACGGTCAAAAAAAGTTTGACTTTTCAGAGGGCGATACCTTCTTGTATAAAATTTTTTGTTAGTGTCCGCTAATGCAGAGGAACTTCCCACTAACTGCTATCTCATTGAACTCACAATATCAGATTTGAGAGGTTAGTTTTCAAGAAAAGTCGAAAATATCCACAAAACGGTCAAAACTAAGAAATTTGACTTTTCCGAGGGCCATAACTTTGTGCAAAAAAAATTAGTCGGAGCCTCTTAAGCAAGGGAATCTTTAAAGACATTTCTATCCATTGAAACTAAGAACTCAAATTTGAGAGAGATAGTTTTCGAGAAAACGAAAAGAAAAATCAAAAATATGGGTCAAATTGTCCCCCATACTTTTTCGAAGACTGTAGACAGGGGGGTCATGTAAAAAAATACTGTAGGAGATTATGCAGGCACACAGTGAATAAGCGGTCTTTCAATTGATACTCCTTTTTTGAAAACTAGGAGAGGTTCTAAGAAAAACTAAAATTTTTGCATAAAAGTTCTAAAAATATCGAAACGAAAAAAAATGAAAACTCAACAAACAGATTAGTAAACATACAGCCAACTTGAAAAGTGCGGAGGGGAGTGCTAAAATTGTGTTAATCTTGAAACGTCTCAAAATTAGGTCATCAAGCCGATGAAAAAATAGGCCAAAATGTACTTGGCCCAAGGAATTTTTTAAGCGAAACAAAAAAAAACAAAGAAGGAAATATAAAGTCATGGTAAGTAAAATTATAAAATTTAAGCGTAATTCAAACGCTGAAAACAACATAAAACAATTGCGCGTAGAAAAAACAATTTCGAGATGTGACAACTAAGCCGACAACAGAAAAGCAGACAAATAATTGGCCGACAATTTTTTGAGAAACAGAATATATCCTGTTTGAAAAAAAAAATAGGTCACGGTCAGGCTCAAATCCAGGACCTTTGGCTTCTCAGGCATATTTGTTACCTTCAGGCTAAGTTGGTCAGGAACACTAAGAAATTTGAATCCATAATCAAACAAGGTAGAGATGAGTCCAGACGAGTCCTGTGGACAAAGCTGTTTACGGGAAAAAAGTCTAGAACCCGGCTGCAATAGGGTAATAACTTAGTAGCTAAGAGATATACAAACTTTAAGACTTTTCCTGAAACAACAAACATAGCTAACAGACAGTTGGAAAAGAGTCAATGAACGCAAGTAAACAGAAAAAAAACGTCAATTCTCGATTTCCGAAGAAAAAATAGCTGGCCTTACGGCTCTCTGAATTTCTACAACAATTTATAATTGACACTTTTTCGATTAAAAAAACCCAATTTGAACATACTGGATCAATAAAAAAAATTCCGTGAAATAAATTCCGTTTTCGAAATAAGTCAATCACGTTTTTCGAGACCTTTACACTTTCGCTGTTCATTAGTGGAGTTTGTCTTGTTTCTAACAAAATAATTGAACTGAAATAATTGACAGAAAAAAAAGTGAAAAGAACCTCCAAATATCAAATTTCAGCCTGAACAAAATTTAGGACTTTTCCTGAAAAAAACTCATCACGAACTATATAAGAGTCTGAACTATGTTCATCGACTATTCAAAATATGAACAGAACAGAGAAAACTCGCTTAATTTAAGCAAGGTATTCGTTTTGATGTTTTGTGCTTGTAATTGAATTTGATTGCCCTAAAATTCCTGCACTGAAAATCTGACCCCCACCCCCTTGTGAAAATCCCAGATCCCTGACCTTATTGTTTGGATATGCCATATTACCATGTGATGTATTTGTGATTGTGAGTGATACTGACCGCGTTGACATGGGCCTCTTTGAGGTGTAGGATGCACCTGACATCTGGTCTGGCTCTGTGCAGTGCCGTGTGCATACTGGTGGCCACGCCACTCACTCCGAATGTGGTGCTTCCAGGATGCATCACATTGCCATGCTGGTCCACTTTGACCAGGGTGGTGGCACTGATCTCCTGCAGGTGCAGGCCACTAGGGTTGATCAACACACTGTCCTGCTCGCCTACAGATAAACACTAATGGTCATAAACAGCTTAGACAACCTAAAAGGAACCCATGCACCATGAGTTTAATAGAAAAACATAGAGAGTGAAAGGCTTAAACTTAAAAACACATGCCTATTGCCTAAACTTCAAAGACATTTTTATTCCACTGGTGATTCTACAACTAAATACGCTTTAGAAACTACAAAAAACATTCGCACTATTACCACCGCTTCGAAAATGAGAGAGAAGCTTTGAAAGTAAAACTGACAAAAAGCTTGAAAAAATGTCTTAATCTAAATTTCAACCAAAACCCATTAAAACTCGAAAACTTCCAACAGAACGTTAGAAAATTGTAAACGAACCAAAGAAACCGAGAGAAAAGACTGAATTAGAAATTCCACCTTTGAGTTTCAAATAATTATCATGACACCCAGACATATCCGCCCGAGTCACTTCCGCCCCAAAAACAGTCAGTTCCTGAAATGACTGCTTTTGGGGCGGAATCGACTGGGTTTTTGGGGCTGAAGTGTCTGGGGCGGAAACGAATGGGTCGGGAATGTCTGATCACGAATAATCGTCATCATTAATTTAACACCATCTTCGTGTATTCGACAGTGGTATTCTCATATCGATTCTTTCGAGAGCTAAAGCGGCTTCATAAACTAGGTCATTAATGAAGCCATTATTTACGCTGCCTTCTTACGCCGCCTTCGTTTTTCATTATTACTATTTATTTGCCAACAGGTTAGAATCGAGATAAAGCGGCTTTCTTTTTTACCGTTAATGGAACTGCATATCGTACTCATTTCAAAACCTACTTTTAAAAAAAATTATTACCAGCGGGTTCAAATCGTAATAAACCCTAAAGCGGCTTTTTTTTATCGTGAATGGAGCTGAGAATCGCACTCATTTCATCACCTACTTCTTAAAAAAATCATTCGTTTCCTCAAAAAAAAAAAGAAAAAAAAACGCACCTGAATAAAAATCACTGCCTGTTTGCCAAATAGCTTTCGTTTCTTTTTCCAAATGATTTACAACAAAACTTTTATAATTTCCCCATACATTGGTCTGTGAGGCACTGAGGCTAAATAAGCGGTGGATAGTAACTTACCTTTTGCACTGTGACTTTCAAACGATCCCACTAAATATTGACATAATCTTTTTCTAATAGTTATACTAAAACATAGGTTGTTATTCTTTCTAATGTCGACATCAATCTAAAGAAACTGAGGCTCTCCGAAAGCTGGCATCATTTAGGCTTGACAAAAATAGATGTGCATCTGTCAGCTACCGTTTGCATCAGCGCTTTTTTCAAATGCAGAAATCTTCACAATTGGATTTGAATAGTAATGACTCGGATCGATATTTCCCTGATCTAGCGCTAGATGAGATATCCAACTAACCGGAGACTCTGGCTGAGATGTGGGTGGTGGTTCCGACGGAGGAGTCTGCCCAGCCCTCTTGGTCCAGCAGTCGGAACAAGGAAGCCAGCTTGCATCTGAGGAAGCGCTCTCCTTTACTGTAGCCACTCGCGTCCACTCCACGCAGATCGGCTATAGGGGTCACACTGCCACCGGCTGAAACGACACACACACTCACTAACAATTCCATAGTACACACAATACTGAATCAAGCTGTAATTGATGGTTAATAAATGATTGCATTTGAGACGACGTTGATCACATGAAGCTTCGAAAAGCTTGTAATTCATTGAAATTGACGACAACACTCCTCAAATTTCTTCATTTGGAGCCAATTTAAAAAAAAATCATAACGAGTAATACCAAGAGTATTCATTTAATGTCAGTGAAAGTGTTCAGTAGTTAAAGATGATGAAATGATATCAGAGAAAAACTGCATGACATAAAATGGCTAAAAACATATTTTCCTTTGTTGAAATTTAAAAAGATTGTCTGCAGACTACATAGTAGCGCCAATAGAAAAAACCGACAACACAGAGAAAAATAGTAAACAATAGGTTGTACATTTACTGTTTTACAGTAACTATGTAACCAATACAATTCAATGGCTGACAGATTAAAAAGATGTTCGCTGATGACACCATTAAACAATAGCAGAGGCTACACATTTGAACTTTCAATTCTGACTGTTGTTAAGAGGCGATTCTGAGATAGAGTGTGCGCTTACATGCTTTACTGGGCGTCGAGCCCACAGCTGCGGGAGGGGGTCCCGCGTCTGAAAAATCAAGTCACTTACAAACCTTACCATACAATCCTTATCACATGCAAAAAATATCACACAATTGAGGTAAATTGACCATCCGCAATGATACTGATTTCAGCAAGTGGCTTAACATGCATAACTTTATCATTTTTTAGTTTCTTATCCAACTTCTATAAATGAAAAAGCTTCCAAACATAAACTAACATATCGGGGTGCATCGCACTTTAAGAAAAGATAAAAACCTAAAGCGGCTAGTAAAAATAAAACATCACCAACAGACAGTTGGAAAAGAACCAATGAAATGAATTCCAGTAAACCAAAAAATAATTGAAAACTGTTTCGAATTTTGATTTTCAAAAAAAATGTCACCTTTTAAAGCAGTTTCTCTAAATTTTCGCGATATCTTAAAAATAAAACCCACTTTTGAATCTAAAAGTCACTCATATTTTTGCACGCCATTTGCAACTTTCTTTTGCAGTTCGAGAGCGTCCAGCCCTTCAGAAAAAAAATTTAATTGAACTAATTTGCATGAATTTGGAGTCAATTTAAAACAAGTATTTTATATCTAATTGTATCCTTTGATAATTAACACTAAACAATTATGATATATTACTAAAACTTATAATTTTTACAGCTGAAGCTATTTATAGTTTCAGCCAGAGAAAAAATAATTTAGAAAGCAGTTGCTCTTCCTCTCCTCTAACCTCGTAAGAATACCAGTATATACTAGATCTATTGAGACTCGGAAATATAAGAGTAAGATTAGGAACGGTATTTGCCTAAGAGTTGCACGAATCTATCCGGCCGAAAATTAGATAGCGTGACGAACAGACGGCGTACCTTATCCAAAATTGCTGTATGAGAAGTCCACCGCGGACTTTCACTCACCTCAACTGCGAGAGAGTAATTTTTCTTCGTTAGGCAAATGAATTTGAAGTGAACTTTAGAAAACTAAAAACCAAACCGTACAAATTTGAGGTGAACCACTTCTGGTTCTGAGACTATTTCCACAAAGAAAACGTAAAAATGACCAAACAAGTCAATTGACGTTGATGAATACTTTAACATTTACATCACTTGGCTAAGCAGTCAGCTTTTATTTCACTGGGATATCCGATAATTAATTTCCGTTTTCGAATTTGGAAGTCGATCACGTTGTTTGTGACCATTACACTTTTCTTTCCTTTTAACAATGGAAATCCACGGAACTTAAGAAATCACAAGTCAAATCGCGAAAAATCAAAATTGAGCGTGACCAAATTTTGTGACTTTTTCCTGAAAAAATGCAAACAAAAAAAGCAGCAAGACCTATATAAGAGTCCTCACTACGTTCATTACTTTAAAAAATCAAGATTGAGCGTGAACAAATTTTAAGACTTTTTCCTGAAAAAAAATCAGCAAGACCTACCTAATTCGACTTTCATTATTAATTTTTATTAGGGCTGGGTCTGAAGTGGGTACTGGTTTGAGTTTTCTGATTTTTGTCGTTTTAGAGGTACAAAGGAGAAAGAGAATGAGCTGAACTGAAGCTTCAAGAAAACTGGCATATCTAAATTATTACGTTCTGAGACTAGCAACAGGAAGAATTGGTAGAATTGAATAGCAATAGGTAAGTGGAACTGAGGGAGTCTACAAATCGATTCAATTCCCCCTGAAGGCAGGCTTTGATCATTTCATGCAACTCTTTTTCCAAAATCAATTCAATCATTGAATGAAAGGTAAAAAGATAAACATTTATATTTAGAAATTGAAAAATTTCCAGGAGTGTTACAGCATCATCACTTTCATGGGCGATAAATGCTGCTGAGCCCTCATCAGGAATGATTGAAATACCAATGCGTCTCGACTTGAATTCAAATTCAATTCTACAAGATCAATTGAAGCATTGATATTTTCAATGTCTAGCTCACCATTAATCAGTTACGATCCGCGACATGCAAACAGCGAAAGGTTACACTGAAATTTACATCCGGCTGAGGAAAGACAGGAAACTTAATGTATCCTCAATTAAACTCATCGGAGAGGGATAGTCAAGGAAAAAAATACAATCTACCCTTTGTAAACCATATTACGATACTATTGTTTTAATTTAAAAATAGCTGATAAAACTTTTTCACATCCCCAGAAAAAAATGTTCACGTCATGCAAACACATGAATCTGTAGTAAAAACAAATGAAATCTGTATTTACTCAGTCACTAGCTACATTCACCGATTGTGTAATGGACTTTCACACAGATTAAGCAGTTGCATGTTATACAGCGGCATTTGCTCACACGACACAGCTGACTGCATTTTCAAGAGCTTTATCAAATATTTTGAACTGATGAATACACCACGAAATATCACAACGCAAGTCGAATATCTGCATCTCATTAAGGGCAGCGTGCTAATTGTTTTCCAAATGGGCTATTAGACAAAAACTTATATATTGCATGTTATACTCATATATAGAACTTATCAGAACTGACATGATCTGTAGGTACGAAACTAAGTAATCAAACTTCAAAACTGCATGGCAAATATCAAAACAACACAGTTTGAGCAGAATCAATGATTTCAAGTAACCCAGAAAACATATGATTGAATTACTTCAAAAAAATGTAACATTCGAAACAAATATCAATTCAAAGCTCTTTGAACTTCAGGAATCTTTAAAGTTATTGATATTTTTGATCAACTAATAAAATCTGAGAAAACTGAATCATTATATACAATTTTTATTCCGCTGGAAGTTTTGAAAACTAAAATACATTTTCAAATTAGACTTCATTCAGATTTTTTTTGCGCAATTTCAAGTTTTTGAAGATCATAATTTTAATTTACTCAGCTTTTCGCAAATGAACTTAGAGTGAACTTATAAAGACAAAATTGAAACCGCTAAAAAAACAGAAAGCTGGAAAAAAGTCCATGAATTCAAGAAAACTAAAAAACAATGATTGACTTTTCAACTACCGAATTTCGAAGAAAAAATAATTCTACTAAACAATCTCCCACTTCAAGAAAGAGGCTAGATTATACAGTACATTAAGTTAGTCGAATTTTCGACCCATCAGAAAAATTAGAATTCTCAAAACAAGCTCTAGTGCTAATCTACTGTATTTATTTATAGGGGTGGAGATTCTTTAGTAGATACCATAGACTGTTAAGTAGAGCAGAAAAAATACAACGCGTTGAAAAAATGAACATTCAGGAACCTGTTATATTTGTCGTTTTTAAAATAAAACTAACCGAATTAGAGAAAACGGGGTCAAAAGTGAACTTTTTTTCCGCTGGGAAATCTTAAATTTAAAATCGATTTCGAGCCCATAAAACTTTTGTTTTATTTCGCCATTTGCTTTTTTGTTGACAGAGAACCTAATTTTCTTTACATGTATAGTGAAAAAAAAAGAAACCAAACTTACGAAAGTTTTTTCCTGGGAAAAAAAAATAAAAACATACGAACGCCCTAAAGACGTGAATTCATTTAATTCATTCAAAGCATTCACTGACTACATTTGATTACGCGGTAGACAGAACTTCCAAGATGGATTCAATTTTTAAAGGTTCAACTTCAGGACAATTCAGAGCACGCATGCAAAGTTAGCTTTACATTTCAGCTTCAACCGCAGTTTGAAGAATTACTGGATTTAGGGTGCATAACAACGAGCAGAGGTGGCAGTTGAATGAAAGTATTACTAATGGTAAGTCAACCGTATGGTAACGGTGGTTTAATGCTCACGGTGGTTTAATTAGGTGTACGCTGAGTGGGTTGCATGGACAAGGCAAGACATTGCATCGATTGGCAACTTATCGCGTTTTTACATTGCTAGTTAGAGCAGCTTATCAGTGGCATGCAAACATTATTGTTGGTTCAACTTCGATTCCATTTCAACCTCCCAAGCTTACTCTCTCTTCTCTAAAATGGATTTCAAAGAGTTTCTGAGTTTAAGCCTCGGTTTAGTCATTTCAAAAGACAACTCAAATCAATCTCAATCAAAACTTAGAAGTTTATCTACTATAGACAAACAATAAATGTCTGTGCTACGAAAAAAAAATCAGAATATAATTTCTGAAAAGAAAATAATTGGAATGCAGATACAAAAACAGATACTTTGCGCCCGAAAAGATCACCACGCAAATGAACTGATAGAACAATCCCTTTAGTAAGATTTTCCGATATTCTTCGCCCGAGAATTGCCCTAAAATCTGAACTATTTGCCAAAATAAATTAAAGCTAGCGTGTAACGCACCTCCGGTGCTTCAAATTTTCGACAAATCACAAAAAATGTTATATCTCGGAAACTTAGATAATTTGAGCGGTCAAACTTGGAAGCAAGATCTGCAACCTCTGTGAGTACCCTGACAGCACCCTTGTCAAATTGTCAGCTTGTTTTACTCAAATTTTAAAAAAACATGAAATCCGTCATAATGTCTGAGCAGTCAAATTTGGAGGCAAGATTTGCAACCACTGTGAGTAAACTGAGAGCAACACTACATAGGCTGGGTACTTCCAAATTTTTTTTCCAATTTTGAAAAACATTGAAACAATGTCCAATCTGGGAAGCAAAAAGGATTTCGGCAGTTATATATGGAGGAAAGACTTACAACTCATGAGATCACCGAGGAAGCAACCTGCTATAGGTTTGTGAAATTCCAATTTGTCAAATTTTTTAATCTCAGGTTTTTGAAAATTTTTGAAAAAATCTTACGAAAACGTAAAATCTCTGAAACTTAAAGCATTTGAGCAGTCACACTTGAAAGCAAGTTTTGCAACTGCTGAGATTTAGAATTTCAAAACTTGTGAAAGTTTTTAAATTTAAGCTTTCTAAAACTTTCGTAAGCTAAAACGAATTGGGTATTCATATTTGAAAGCCAAATTCGCAACCGCTGGGCGAATCCCGACAGCATCCATCTTTTGGGTTACTAAATTAGGCTTGGTAAAATAGTCACAAACATTCACACTCAAAAAATGATAAAAATCTCTAGGATTGCAGTATTCGATATAGCTCAAACGTCAAAAAATCTTTCGTTAAACATGCAAAAATAAAACGCTGAAATATGGTGAGATAGTGAAGCCCGCATTTAACAGAGAGGCAAAGCTGAGCTTCGCACCACTTGTGATACAACAATTATAGGATAAGGGCACCCTGGCGCTAAAAAAAATAGCAAACAAAACTTCGAACTATGTTGCACTTAAGAAGAAAGTTGAAAAACAAAAAAATGCTTTTTTCGTGTTTGAACTTCTTATACTTTTCAAAACGTCTTAGTGGAGTTGAATTTAGGCAATCAAAATATTGGTACCAGAGTCTTATTGATCTCAAAAGTACTGGTTCCAAAAATTGCGCTAAAAACTCCAAAAACTAAGTTGAAATTGAAATGAAAATCGAAAAATTTTAACAAGTTTTTCTCGATAAAATTTTTTGAAAATTTTTAAATGTCGTTTGAATCAGGACTGAAAGCGCTTCAATTTGGTTTATAACTTGACCCACTCCGATGATTATTTTTGGTACTGATTTTGCGTGGAAAACAAAAAAAAAGAAAAAACTAAAGCACCAATACAAGGTTCCTCTACATTTTTCATATTTAACAAAAATTTTCATTTAACGCCCCCATAGGTTCCACGATAGCTACAGAAATAGCGTATGCAAAGTAGGCTACATAATTTGGAAATTAAACAGAGAGAGCTTAAGTCGACAACTTAAGGATAGCCAAAATTTCATATTTAACTAATTGCTGGTTTCATATTTCAGTCGAGCGCAACGCGCTTGCAGAGCATGTTTTTACCAGAGTACAATCTAGTGAACTTGGTTTTGACTACTTTTTTGTCGTCTAGCTAAAGTTAAATTGGCAAACATATAAGCAACTGGGTTCTTTGTTCACGTTGAAATCAAGTAACGCCGAGCAGCAGAGCTCGTTTACAATGGCGAGACCCGGTCTCATTTGCATGCCATGGAGCTGACTAAGCCATAGATAAATTCAGACCCTGCTGCCCTTTTTAGACACACCAGTTAGAGTGGTATCCTGTATATGCCTAGTTATTTTACAAGCTCAAAGGAAGGTGGAAATTGAAGAAAAAATGGATTCGAAGTGAAGAAAAATTGAAGACAAACAACCGAAAGTGCTGAGTGGCGAATAAAATTAGATATTAGAACTAAAATCAACGAAAGAAGAGCGAAAGAAACTAGAAGGCGGGCACGACAGACTAAAGACTAGACAGTCAAAACACGATGCATTTTCCCTCTCCATTCATTTGATGCAAACTGCTATTTATTTTGCCTCCCATATGTTTAAACTATATTTGATGTGATATGCAGTTTAATCTGCATTTGTTTGCCACCTGATACTTACTCACGTCAAAAAATAATAAAAAATTCAGACTTTGTAGGTATAAAAATGTCTATTCCCTATCTTGTTATGGTATGATTTTTGCATTTATATCACCGCCATGTATGATTTCCTTTTCTGTTTTTCATTTTTGACGCGTATCTGTCGAACCTTTTCATTGCCTATGATCCGGCTCTTAAATTATGTCTTTGCTAGAATATCATGACTAACATCTGGCACATAAGCCGATAAAACAATCATTCCACGGTGACTTAAGAAGACAATTAAATCAGAAAAAAAAGAAAACGGCTATTACCTTCAACGTTTCAATTTTAAATTTACGTGCATAAAAGTTAGAAACTTTTAACCATTTAGAGGATTCCAAATACATTTAGACTTCTTAATGGGTCGTCTTAAGTTCCAGTCGTCTGATTTACCTAACACCATTAAGATTGCTATTATTTTACACTTAGGAGGGAAGGAATGGAAATGAAAAATAAATGAAAGAAGGAAGAATAAAATAGCGGCGCTCTGGGGAGGAGAGACGCATGTTATTTGTATTTACATGTAAAACAGTTTCGATTCTGCCTCGAGAGAAAAAAGAATGGAAAAATGAAAAGCGGAATACTTTAGCATGAGCAAGTGGGGAATAGAACGGGAACCAACCGGAGCTAGAAGCTCGCAATTCAACCGAGCTGGTCGCATTTATTTTCTTTATCTTTTCCGCTCCATTTTACTTTCTCAATTTAGCTTGGCGCAAAAATGGGAGAGCTAGAAATGAGACAGAAACAGACAGAGTAAAAACTGGTGAATCTATTTTCATGTCCAAAATATGAATTGAAATTCCCTCGTATATTTGCACATTTGGGGCCCGCATAAGCTGAGTCTGCTAGTAGCTGTATTGACGGAACATGAACATTACAAAGTGAAAATTGGAGAATTTGCAACAGTGGTGGTGCATGGTATTAATAATTCGGTCTGGCTGCCATGGATTGGAATTTTTATTTACGTATGTTGAGTTTTTCCTTCGAGCATAGTAGGTATTCAGAGCACACAAAGTCCATGCCATGGTATTATATTGGCATTACTGGCACAATAACTATACTCACTAAGTACAGATAGGAGATCAACTGGCTAAACTCTACAGTTTTATGTGCTGTTCTAGAGTGCAGTATTATAATGATACATAATTGTGTCCCAGATCGGAACTGAACTAACTGAATTAAATCATCGGTTGGGACCATCGGATACATATCAGCCTCAAACTCACTATACATATAACACAATCAGACCAAAGCAGTGCAACTGAACGCTAGAAGTACAGACGGGGTCTACAACCTATTACGACAAAGTGAAAGTGAATTTAAGCATTGCGAAATATAAAGGATTTGGCTGTCAGTTTTCCGTTCTAGAAAAGTTGAAGTGGAGCAAACAGTTTGGATCTCAAGAATGCATTTAACGGCACTAGAAAATTCTTTAAGGTGTCGAAACTCAGCAGTTGCAGTTGCAACAGCTCTCAGTCAATAAGATAGTTAACTTTTACTGGATTCAGACCACGTTTAAAACAAGTATAAATTCCAGAGGCCAGGAGCAAACGAAATAAATCAGCTGCCAGCCAGTAAACATTACGTTTTGAACTGTTTACGTTCAAGTCAGAATGATTGAAAGGATATTGACTAGGATTGAAGGATTCAAATTCACATTCTAGACCACCCAGCTCTTACAAGTATTTTTTTAAAACTAAAACTGACGTATCAAAAAAAAATTCCACACCTCGCAAAAAAACGACTATGAGTCGATCATGCGATCTGATACAAATAAAAGAAAGTAGCAAAGCGGTGAAACTAAGCGTTGCACCACCTACTTGCGATATAACAAAAACATAGCATGGCAAACAAGCCATAATATTTTTTGTCATAATTGAATGTGAAGTTCGCATCGGAAAAAACAGCAAGCGGTAACAAAATCGACAATAATTGAGCAGACCGTCGTTGAGCCGGGAAAAATGTTTTCATAGCCCTCCACTTAAAGCACAAACAAGCATAAGAAGCTTTTGACACATCAAACGACGTAATATATGGCCACCAAGCCGATATAATAAGCCGTAACCTTTTAAGCTGAATGAATAAAAAAACTGAACTTATAACAAAAGGGAGTTGGTAAACTTACAACTGATATAAACATAGTCAACAGAAGTTTGGAAGTGTAAAGAACAAGGAAACCGAAAAAAGTAGCTTGAAAATTTTTCACCATGTTTCAATTTTCAAGTTCCAAAGAAAAACTTTATCAGGTTAAATCTTTTTGAATTTCAAGAACTGTTCATAAGTAGCACTTAATGAAAAAACCTCCAGCATATCAAAAAATAAAATTTCACTTTCGAAACTAGAATCACGTTTTTTTTTTGCGCCTTAACTGCTTTCTCAATTGGAGAGGGCAATTAGCAAATGAACTTAAAATGAACCCAAAAAGTGCATATATGCCTAATTTCATTCATAAATGCATTAATATGTATGATGCACTTCTGTAGTTATAACAGCATTTTAAGCCTTTCTCCCGAAGAAATAGTCTTTTGATGCTAGCAGTAGAAGTAATACTAAATAACATCAACAATTTTACCATTTAGGAATGATTGTGGGGTAAACACCTGGAAACATTGAGAAGGGTTGTTGCATACTCAAGCTTCTCAATGGAAACATTGAGAAGGGTTGTTGCATACCTTTAGAGAGTGTGGAGGTGGATGGTCCTGCCCCGTTGGTGGGAAGGAGCATGTCTGCGAGGTGTTGCAGTGCCATGACACTGGCCGGGTGGGGCCCATGGGACAGCTGGTAGTCGATGATGTTCTCCAGCTCTGCTCTGAAGGCGTCACTGTTCATGATATACGACACTCTCTTCCTCTTCTCCATGTCCTTGATATCCGCCTAATGAAAACGCAAAATCAAAAAATTACATACTTTTTGCTGAAATATCTCAAGTCTTGAGTGAATAATACACAAGTGTAATGAAGCACAAAACAACAATTTAAATCAGATTAATTGTGCTGTTTTCATGTAATCGGTACAGCTGAACAAAACATCAAAACGCCAAATTATTAAACTCAACATGAACAAACTAATAGGACATTCTGGAAAAAAATCAGGACCAAACTAAATATTAATAAACCCGAACAAACCAAAAAAAAGTCTTGTTTGAAACCCTTCGCCCAATTTATCTCAAACAAAGCGAGCTAGGCAACAAAAAATAAACCAAAAAAAACGCTGACAAATGACAACAAGGATAGCCGGTTGCTGTGCAAGTAGCACAGAATGTTCCGACCACATTCGTAAAAAACTACGAAAAAAATCGTTATCTTCAAATTAGCGACGTCTCTTCTGCTTGTTGTGAATGTAGAACTATACAAACGCGTAGAAAGTTGTTGAAGAAATCGTAGGCGAAAAATAAGAAAAATTTAATTGCAATGTTATAGAAATCAATTAGTTTCAAAACAAAAGGAGGATTTGGACTTAACTCTATCCATGTATTTCTGATGACCTATAGATGAAAACGATAAGAATACATTTCGATAAGAATACAAAAAATACTAAATGTATTTGAAAAATGTTCATTAAATCTTGCAACCAAAGAATCTGCATATCTAACAAGAAACATCGAGGCTGAAAGGACCTATCCGCTAATTGCTATAGTGTAAAATCAAAAAGAAAAAAAAAACAAAAAACAAAATTTCAAAAACAAGAATGCAAAAATTACAAACAATTGCCACAGAAAAAAACCTGCCGAAAATCTGAAAAAACTATGAAAGCCTATGAAAATAACCCAGAGCAAAAAAAATCTGAAAATTTATTAATTGTTTTGACCTATTGAAACAATACGTTAAGCCATCAACTTAAATCAATTTCAAATAAAATTGCTTAAACCTAAAACACACCTAACTAATTAAAATTAAAACTAGACTAGTTTCACATACAAAAAAAAACGAAAACCATGCTACCGAAAAAAAAACTGAAAACTTATCTAGCAGAAAGTTTTTTTAAAGACAATTTTGGCGCCTATAAAAACCAGAAAACCATGAACTATATTTACCCTCATGAGAATGAAGAAAAAAATTACTACAAAAATCTACCAAAAAATTACTGAATGAACTACCAGGCAAGTAAGCGGGCATAAATTGAGTCGAAATCAAAAAAGCCGACAAAAAAAATCAAGCGACACAAAACACAAAGCAGAGCAAACTAGCCGACAGAAAATTGTCTAATACATTTTCATTTTCCAAATAAATTTTCATTTTTTTTGTTTCGAAAGAAAACCCATTTTGAGGAAAACTCGCCGAGAAAGTCAAAAATTAGCGTTGAATTAGAAATGAAACTAGCTTTAAGAATCAGTAACCAAGCCGGAAATACTTGGGTAGACGCCAGTTGAGCCCAAAAAAAGCTATACTATTTAAAAATCAAAATAAAAGCTTATTTTTATGTGATTTCAAGTAATAAGCTTGAAGATTTATACGACAATACATTGAAAGCACCAGATATTTAATCGAACCTTACAATTCCAGGAAGTTGCAAAATTAGTTCTTTTTTTAATAAAATTGGGCGAGTTGGACATAACCGTAGCTTTATATAATCTCGGCAATTCACGGTAGAAGATGCAGGAAAATTCCCCTTCCTCTTCAGACTACGTGCGAGTTGAATTCATCGTTTAAAAGACGAAAAAATAAATCCTTCAACAGCAGAGAGAACTTTAGTTTAGGATTGGGTGCATGCGTTTTCTAGTATCGCCAGCTGCTTTTTGAGATTTGTCAATTAACAGGTAAAATTAATTATTTGAATAATATTCACCTCAATTGCGGCCGGTTTTTCGAAATCTTCTTCTTCGTGGATAGTGCCATTAGTCATAAACTTATCTCGCTTGTCGGCGAACTCCTGCTGAAAGTCCTGTTTGGGCGCAGAAGGCATTTTGAGTTGCAGTCTTCGTCTTCAGTATCTTACCAATGCAATTTCAATACTATGCTAGATACACAATCTGACTCTGAATTCGAAATAACACGATCATCGTTATCCTTAACAAAAGTTAGTAGATTCAAGTAATTAAACAGTTGATTCAAGGTTCAACCACATAGTTTTGTTCTCAAAATGCTAAGAACCGACCAGAAACTAAACGCGATTTAGAAATTGAGATAAATCTGGTGCATATATTGTCGAAAAGAACTTGTGGAATTGTGGTCAATGGCACAATATTAAACAAGCAATAAGGGACCTATGTTAAATCAATGCCAACCCAAGCCATATATGCACAGTTAGAATATCGTTAAATTTTCCTTTTTGCCACTCTTATACATTTATTGCTCCAATTTCGGAGAAAGTGAAGAATATATTTACTATTTGCCCGGGTCGTTGTTTTCTTTGGAAAATTTTTTTAGTACATGTCTTTTAAAGATCTCACTTCCCCTTAAGTTTGGTAAAACTGCCGCCTGCGATCAGTTTTTTGCCGCTCAGGGTCAAATGATCTGTATATTATTGAAACTAACTTAATTTAATTTGCATAAAACTCTATACAAACAACTATAGAACTTTCAACGATAGCAAAACATGTCTTTTATGCTTGACACAGAGACAAAGTCCCCCTTGAAACTAGAATGAACAGTACTTGCACCTACAATGAAAGTTCCCCACAGCAAAAAAAATCAGTTATGTGGCAACTAAGCCGACCATTTTTGAGCAGACACCAACTGAACCGAAAAAAAAAAGATTTAATGAATTTTTTTATCTTTCAAGTCCTCCTTGAAATTAGAACAAACATTTGCACTTGCAAATACAAGCAAAATTGACCTCAGCACAAGCAAAATCCTTTGTGACAATTTAGCCGACAAAACCTGATCGAACAAACCAAAAACCAACAATTCATTTTTCTCAGGAATTTTTTTTCAATTACCTTGATACTGAAAAAAAAAAGATCCGGCCACGACTCGAACCCCAGACCTTAGCGTACAAATACAACTGCTTTACCTCCAGACCAAGGGGGAAGCAATCTGGAACATGTTAAGAGAAGGTAAGAAGAGAAACGAAGACAAGAAGAGAAGTGAAAGAAAAAGATTCAACTGATTTTTGTTAAAGGAGTTGTTAACCGGAAAAAAAGTCTATATTCCAGTTTGATAACGCTTGCTTATCGCCACCGTAACAAATTACTATTATTTTTCATTCGGAAACTGAGCCGACTGAGATTAGCCAAAAAATTGTCAGCATATAAGATTTATGAAATTCGAGGTATTATATATACACTGGTTGAAGATCTAAAAACAACATTTAAGAGAAACTTAATTAATCATTTGACACATATGCGAAACATAGCTTTACCATCTGCGATACCACGCAAACATAGCATCGCAAGCTGACAAAAAAAACAAGAATTACTAAAATTTCATGATTTTGTCGCAAATTATCATTTTCAGGGAAAAAAAGTCCAGCAAAACAATTGCCGACATGAAATAAGTATTCAAAAACCTTATCGAGCGGCAGCCTAGCCGACAAAATTGAGTAAGCTTTTGTTGAGCCCTAAATCAGAAAACAATAAGCTGACAAAATTTATGAAACAATTTCAATTTGAAAACAAGGATAGCGGTTTGCTGTGTAAGTAGCACAGAATGATCTGACCATAAAATACCACAGAAAGTCTTTTCAAATTTAAGTTATTTTTTCTGCGTGGTGTGATAAAGGATGTGAACGAAAAACTAGAACTTAGGCATATTCGACAGTCATAGTAATATGAACAAAATGGAAAATAATTTTTTTTGACGTTTTTGTTTCCAAAACGGCGCCATAATACTCAAAAAAAAAGGTTTAGTCAATTTTCAAACCGGTTATTCTAGACACTGGGAAAGTTTAAATATCGTTCGATTCCCGACTAAAAAGGCTTTAAAATGATATATCACTCAGCTCTCTCCGATAATTATTTGTGGTAGCTGAGTTTGCGTGGAAAACAAAAAGAAACTAAATAACACCCAATTACAATGTTCGCCCCATTTTTCGAATGGTCGGAAGAGAAAAGGTTCCTACCGAATTCAACCTTGCACTTGCACCCAGGCGTAGCCGCCGTTTCAGGAGTAGCCAAAAATAATGCTAAGTCAAGCTACCAAGTGATTTTGTTCAAGTTGTTAACCTGAAAAAATATAATCTGATTTAGTAATGATTGCTAATCGCAATCGTAATAAAGTCAGAACTGAAACTAAGCCCAAAAGTTAAGCAGCGTAATATGCCACCTACAAAATTTAGACAAAAATAGGTATATAGCGAAAAAAAAATGTCCGGCTGGGACCCAAAACCCATTCCTATCGACCTTCAAGCAGGTGCTTCACCTTGACACTGAATAGCAAGCTCCAAAAACAATTGAAAATTCATAATAAAACAAGGTCAACTACTAACAGATTTAAGTAATTTGCAAAAAAAACACTCCATTTCCCGATTACAAGGCACCTGCTCTCCTAAGTGTAAAACCGCAGCTGGATTGACTTCTTAAAGCTAGCTAACAAGAAATGCAACGAATTAAAATAAATTAGTATCTGATAATCGAAGTTTCGTTTTCAACCCTTACTAAAGAATTGTCATCCTGCTTGGCATTGTCAACGCAAAATCGATCGAGATTTGCTTGGTCATATGAAACTTCTCTTGTACGAGGCTTAAAATTATAATTAATTATCTTACTTTCTGGCGACACGGAGCCTTTTCGGAGAAAAATTCGAATACAATAAACCAAAATATTGCATTCAACTGAAGTGAGGCAAATGCAACCGAGTAAATGACATCCGGTTGCTGCGCAAATAGCACAGAAGGTTCTGACCATAATGATTAAGTAAAGAAATCCAAAAAGGTTTAAAACACGAAAAAAACTCATTAACCAAAACATCCTGTTGTTTTTTTTAATTGAAGGTAACTGAAGTAGTTTCAATAACTGCAAAAAAGAAGTTGTTCAAGAAAAATATTTGAGCGAAAGTTTTATGCGCCACAATCGACCTGAATTATTTTTTAATATTAACCAATTTTCGCCTTTCGAACTACTCAACATATATGGACTGATCCGGTGAAACACTAAATAACCGAGGAAACAGAAAGACAATAAACCGAAATATTGCATTCAATTGAAGTGAAACAATGGCATCCGAATCAAATGATGGCATGGCAGTAGAACTAGCGCAGAAGGTTCCGACCACAATGATTGAAATACAATCCAAAAAAGTTTAAAAAGCATATTTCCCACATTTTTCTATTGTTTTTTTCAGTGAAAGGCAACTGAAGTAGCTAAAATATATTGTTGTTCTAGAAACCGATCTGAATTAGTTTTTAAATTTTTAATCAACTTTTGCTCCTCAAACGATCAAACTTAAAGTGACTGATCCGATGAAACGTAAGTCGAAATTATTGAAGCATTTAACAAACAAAAAAGAAAATATACTAAGTCACAGCTAGTAAATTTGAAAATTGCAGGAGCAAATCAGAAACAATTTCAACTGCTTACAGCACGAAAAAAACGTTATGTAGCAACTAAGCCGACAAAACACGAGCAGTCAAACGAAAGAGGAACAATTCAAACGGAAAACTCCCCTTTGCTTCATGCTGATAAAATACAAGTCCCGGCCGCTACTCTAACCGCAGTTCTTGAAGTGCAAACTAAACCTCGATACATCTAGACCAGGCGTTGTGAAGTCTGGAAGCTGTTAATGTTCGAAAAATAAGCAAGTACAAAATCTTAACAATTTATGGGAGGAGGGTTCAAGTTCCCGATTAGAAGACATTTGCTTTCGCTAATGTAATGAATCATGAATCACGAAGCTGAAGCACAAACAAAAACCAGTAACGTTTTTGCAGCTCAAAGTTGAGTTAAGCTAAAGCAGAACAGTATACATGTGATTCGATCAAAATCACATAAAAATGCATGTGTCAGTTGGTTATATATGGAAGTTTGGCCTTGAGAAAACGTCAAGTCTTGATTTTGGGGTTCGGATTGAGCATGTCAAGCTCAAGTTTCTCGCGACAACTGAAAATATCAGAAAAGTAAGATCAGAAGATTCGAACTACAATCGCGGGAAAGTAGTCAAAAAATAGCTGCGGGAAATTGCTATTCGCAATTTCCGATACATAATTCGAACGAGAGTAGAGCTGTCTTATTCGTGTCAGGAGACAGAAAGTAATCGCGAGTGAAAGGAGAGGCAAGTGTGGGTCGTTGTAAGGTTTTCAGATAGCTTTTGATAGCAACGGACCTGTGCCAGTCGGTCATGTCTGGAAGTTTGACCTTGAGACGCGAAAATACGTAACTTTGGAGTGGAATTTTAATTTTCAAATTTTCGAATGGAGCCTGTCATGCTCAGTTTTCTCGTACCAACTAAAAACAGAAAGTGAAAATCAGAACATCCGAATTTACAATTGCGGGAAATTACTCAAGAAAAACAGCGGGAAATTGCTATTCGCAATTTCCAGATATAAAATAGGACACGAGTAGAGCTGTCTTATCCCGAAATAGGAGGGGAGACGATAAATAGAAGAAAGAACGACTATTCGGAACGAACTAGAGTGAACCTTCTATGGAAAGGTGGACAGCTTGAGTGTCCCAATGGTTCATATAAAAACTCAAATTCTGGAGTCGGAATTTACTTCGATTACCAAAACTGACCAGTATTAAACTTATCTAGTTATATTACCTAATTCTTGAGTTGCTTACCAATTTAATTACTCCTTGTGCTCGAGTACATCGACATGTGAGTTCCCAATTTAAATTTCTCGAGTGTGTTTTATGATTGTTATGTTGAGATAAGGCGAGTTTTAGGTTGTTCCATCTGAAATGGATCAAAGTTCCACTGTCCAATAAAAAGTAACTTAACGGATTGTTCCGACCCTGTTTTTAACGGCGTTCGCGTATTTTGGGTATCTTGAGACCTAAGTATGGGGACGTTCTTATTTTCTAGAGTGGGGGGATATTTTGGTAGTAGCCTTCAAGCTGTAGCGAGTTCTAGTCTCATGTCGCAAGCGAACCGAACTGGCTCCAACCGTTCTTGAGGTAGAAAAACACAAGAGATAGTGTCCCTGACCCTTGAGCCAGTGGTTATAGGGCCTCTTTTCTTAAGCCTCATATGTGACTGCAGTAGGCGACTGTTACATAGTGTTTTTATGGCGCTCCTGGGTGTTTTTACGACATCATGACTACGGAGTCGAACCCACTTGACACAGCTCCGGGCTGCATGCCCATTCTA